AGGGGGTGGGGGTGGGGTAGGCATTCTTCCCACTGAAGTAGCACTTTGAAATGGAGGAGGTCACTGCATCTTTAGCAGAAGGAATAAACAGGGCAACAGTATGAATGGGCCCATGTTAGGAATGGCTGGAGTTGCCATTCCAACTTGAAGAACTTCCAGTCTGGGTGGGTGGCTGCTGAGGCACCTTGCTAGGGTCCAGAATAAAGTCCTATCCCATACGATGTACAGTTATTAGGTACCAAGCAAATTGAGAACAAGAACAATAGAGGCCCCATTCATCCCAGATGTTTCATATAAGCTGACCCTGAAATTTCTATAACCTATCTGAAGGAGAAACCCAAGTCCTTTCTAGGAGGGGTGTACAGGGTAGGAGTGGTTGGTTCCTGACTACCCAGGAGCAGGTCTGCAGCTGTCCCTGAACCTGCAGGTATTTCATACTGCAAATGACATCTTGGGAATGTCACAAGACTTCCTCCTGACCTCCCGCTTCAGCTCATGTCTGTTTTTTTGAAGGAAGAAGAAAAACCATAACCACCTACCCCATTCTGAAAATCCTGGTCTAAGTAGTAGGAAAGCAAAGCTAAAGCTGCTCTCATGACCTTTCCTGTTAACCTTGGATAAACAGCACTAAGTGACAAGGCCACCGAGGTTGTGACCTCACAAAAGACAGTAAAGCACTAATTTTTTAGAATCACAGGGACTTTTGCTCATTTATAAAAACTTCAATGAAGATCATAAAAAATGACTAGTGTAGACAAAAATCAACATTTACTCCCTTTATTACTGATAGTTTCATTTAAAAAAGCATTTGAATTAAGAAGGAGCTAAGAGTCTGCTGCAGATTCTGCAGGTGCTCTATCTCTACGTTCCAACTGCATCTTCTTTCCTTTAAGAAGGTAGATCTACAGCAAGTGCTTCTCACACAATTAGATAGTCTCAGCCAGTTACTGTTAGAAAATGTATAAGCTCTGCAAAAAGGAAGCAACTAAGTAATGTATAAAGCTAAAACCAAAAAGAAGGCAGAGATTTTATATTTTTACTAGTATGCCTGAACTACAGAAGAAATCATGTAGGTCACTTTAAAATAGAAACAACAGTGAAATTCCCAGGGGTGGTTTTAGAAGTGAGATTTGGTTTTCATTTCACCTGGCTTAATAATGAAAACATGAAAGATGGCTTCCAATTTCTCCCAAACCAACATATTAGTCCATTTAAAGAAATGCCACAGGAGACTGTTCCTACTACTTTTCTTTAGAAGATAGATTTTGTTTGTTCTTGCTGAAAATTGAGTGTATCTTGCAATTTTAACAGTGCCTGAACCAAAGTGGGTAACACGAGGGGGGTTTAAATGAAGCCTGAAGACAAAAGATTGCAGTGCAAACACCCAGCTAACCAGCTACCGGCCACCACTCAGCCCTATGGGCCCTGCTGTCATCCATGTCTGATGAAGGCCTTTTAGAGGGGGGCAGCACTAAATACCAAGGCAACATAAACATAAACCCCTCTATTTGCTTCTGGGACAAGATTACACAGAAGGAAAAGAAAAAAAGGAATAAGAATAAACCTGTCCCCCCAAAGTGGTATTCTGTAAGCATGTACACATATTCATCCATGTGGATGTACATTATATATGTGCAAACATGTATAGGCCTATATATTTATGTATGTACACAGTAATGTACTAATGTATATATGAATATAATAACAACTCAGTAGTTAAAAATGTTTCAAACCTAAGAAAATATGAACAAAAATTACTATAGCTATGAAGATGACTGTCAGGTTATAAGCCAACAGTGGCAGCCATATATAGACAGATTTATCTTCTCTCTCTCTAGTGACAGTATCAGGGTTTGAACTTGGGGCCTGGTGCTCTTACTTAGTTGACATTTTCATTGATGGCTGGCACTTTTATCACTTGAGCTGCAACTCTAGTCTGGCATTTTTGCTGGTTAACTGGAGATTTAGTCTCATGGACTTCTCTGCATGTGCTGGCTTTGAACTATCCTGAGCAGCTAGGATTAGTGGCATGAGCCACTAGCACCTGGCTGGGAGAAATATTCCTTTCCAAAGCACTTGCTTCAGGGAGCTAAGTTGGCTGTATGGCAGATTTACTCCTTTGGAATATAGTTCTTGGGTAATGTGTAAGCAGAAATTGTACAAGAGAGTTTCATTGCCTTTGGTAGGTCAGAAGAGATGCAAATCCAGAAAAAAAAAAAAAAAAAGCTAAGACAACATGTTTAAAAGACCACAAATTTACTTCCAAGTGTATGGCCAGACTCTAGCTCTGGCACCTTCAGGCTTAGAATGGGACCTTAGCTGGACCACATGGGACTGCTGGGGGTGGGGAAGAGAAGTTCAAAGGCTGTAAAAGGAAGTGATGGGAGGGTTTCTATCTGTAGTAGAGCCAGACTGGTACCACCTTTGTTCTTTCCTGTGAAGTGTCTAGTAGATAGGTAGTCATTGTATTGTGTTCAAATAATTCTATATCACAACCCTTAGATTATTAGATTAGTATTATATAACTTTACTGATTATCATTTAGAATAACTTTAATATCTACTGAAGCAGGATAGTATAAAAATTATACTATATTATTTTTTTGTTACTGAAGGGGAAAGCAAGTAAGATTTCAATCACTGAAAAAAGCTGTTATGAAACTCTATAAAATATGTACATTTTCTAGTGAAATACTTTTATTACAATATATCCATATTCAAATGGCATTTAATAAATAGAAGTTAAGATAGGTACTATAAGCATGTTTCTCACTTGGGCTCAGTGCATTCATGGTATAGACATACTTGAGCTGCACATGTGAAATTTTCCTCAGTGGAGGGAAGAGAAGAGGTAAGGCCAGGAGAGGATAGTTGGGTCTGTCACTGGTTGACTCTTGCTTGAGGAACTCTCCCAGCAGACAGCACTGAGTACCTCCTTATCCTCAGGGATGTGTTCATGGGGTTAAATTAGGAAGGAATTAGGAAGAGAATTTGAGCCTGCTCTTTGGAAGACAGTTTTATCACTTCCTGTTGTATATTCTCAGGATTTATAAGCTCTGAAGAGGAACTGTAAAAAGAACAAGGATCCCACTCCCTCCAACCAAGCCTAATCACAAATTAAACAGCTACATAGGGATATTGTGAGGCCTATCCTCAGATACAAGGTCTGAGGGTGGAAGGGACTTGGTGCCAGCCTGGGCTCCAATGCAGCAGCTCGGAAAGCTATCTATATGATCCAGTTAATCAGCAGGCAGAAAAACACAATGCCAAACCTGTCTTTGTTCTATTTTTTTTTTTTTACATGTACTTTACTTATCTAAGAAAACCAATCCACTAAATCTTTCAGTTTTACACAATTTCCAGGCATATCACCTGTCATTTTCCCCTGCCACTTAATGTGTCCCTTCAACCCTAGGGAGCTCTGTGGCTGGGGGTCCAGGATAATATACCTAGGGCTGAGTGGGAAAGAGGGAGGGAAGCACAAGAAGAGGAGGAGGAGTAGAAAAAGGAGGTGGTACAGGTGGTAGGGGAGATGTTTGCTCACATTTCATGGTAATGGAAAAGCTAAAAAACTTTTTAGGGTTAAAGTATGTATGAAACCATCTGTTGTGCCCCGCTGTTACATACTTTAGATTCTGCATGTTTTTATGTCTGTGTCTTCAAAACATCATGAGCTTTAACCAGCAATATTTAAAGTGTGTTGTATTTTAATGGAATCATACATAATGCTGATGCTTCAAAAACACAGTTTTGGAATGTCAGTAGTAGGAAAATATTTGAATTTCATATATATTCTCTTCTTACAAGAGAATATGAAAGAAAAAAGATGGAATCCTCCTATGTTAATTAGCCATCTGGATACTACCCTTGTACATTGAATGTTCATGTCTTTTAATCATTTTTAAATTTAGCTTTCAGTCTTTTAAACTTGTTTTGTAGAAGTTCTTTATATATTGTTACTAGGTCTTTTTTTCATGTGTCTTCTTCCATTCTGCATCCAATTCTTAATATCAGAATCTTAACAGGGTCCAAAGTAGTAAAATTTTTCCTTTTATTGTTCACTTTTGGTGTCTTGCTGGAGAAATCTTTGTCTGCTCCAAAGTAACAAAGATGCTCTTTGTTCTCCAAAACTTACTCTTTCCTATTAAAATCTACGCTTTGTTTTATGTATGATATGAGGAAAGGGTCAAGACACTTTTTTTTTCTCCAAACAAGAATTGGCTGAATCCAATTTATTGCAGATGTCTTGCCCTATTAGGTCGCACTTCCATTAATCATGTAACTGCATATCAGTGCATCTCTTTCTGCACTCTGTTCAATGATCAACCTGTCTATCTTTGCACTAATACCACACTAATTTAATCACAAGAGACTTGTAGATTGACATCTGCTAGTGGCAATATTCAAGGTTTGTTTTTTATTCAAGAATGATTGCCTAGCTTGGAAAAAATTATATTAAGTGAAGTAAGCCAAGCCCAAAGAAACATGGTCCCATGGTTTCCTTTATTTGCAATATCTAGTATATATATGAGTCAAGCAGAAAAGGTCAGATAATGTGATGTTAGGAAAATGAACCCTTAGATATATATTTAAAAGTATTTTTCTTTCATGCATTTGTTTCTAATGCATTTATAAGATTATTTCTTGTTGTTTTGTATGTCCCTCCCGCACAGTATAACCTCTGCTTTCACTATATTTGATGTCAGTATAATTTGTGGAGGAGATGGGGAAAAACAAGTTGTTTAAGGATACAGGTGGACCTGTTGCAACAATGAGAAGTACAAGTTGTCATGTCAAAAACAAACTACAACTTTGGTGCAGGAGGGGGGGCAGGGAAGGATTGGATGGGGGGGCGGGGGGAGGATGGGAAGGGATGTGAAGGGTAAACAAAGGAGGAGGCTGCAATGCTTGATAAGAAATGTATTCATTATCTTGCCCATGTAATTGTAACTCCTCTGTACAGTATGTTCACACACAAAAAAAAGAATGCTTGCCTAGTGCTTGCTTTGCTAGAATATATACTGAAATTGGAATGATACACAGAAAATTAGTATGGCCCCTGAGCAAGGATGACAAGCAAATCTGTGAAGTGTTTCATATTAAAACAAAGCAAAACAAAAACAAGACTTTAATTATTATTGACCATTTATCTTTTCATGTGACTTTAAATAATAAGTATCTCAGTTTCTACAGAAGGAAAATTAAAAGTAATGTGACAGACCCAGGCACTGGTGGCTTACGCCTATAATCCTAGCTATTTAGGAGGTTGAGATCTGAGGATGCGGTTCAAAGCAAGCCCAGGCAGGAAAGTACTTGAGACTCTTATCTCCAATTAACCATCAGAAAACTGGAAGTGGTGCTGTGGGCTCAAGTGGTAGAGTGCTTGCCTTTAGTTGAAGAGCTTAGGGACAGTGCACAGGCCCAGAGTTCAAGCCCCACAGCCAACCAACCAAACAAAAAAAGTAATGCGACAAGGACTACATTAAATCTATACAATATTTTGAAGAAAACTGAGTTTGTAATATTGGTGTCTCAATTCACCCTCTATCTACAGAACAGGAAAAGATTCCCATCTTCATGAGGGCTAAGGGAAATTCAAATGAAAGCCACCAAATCCATTGCAATAGTTAAAACAAGCAAACAACCAGAAGGCTGAAAATACTAAGGAAAAGATGTGGAAAAACTGGGATGCATATTGTCAATAGGAATGCAAACTTTGGGAAACTGCTGGTAGTATTCTCTAAAGCTGAATCTATGTAAACCCTGTGATCTACCAATTTTATTTTTAAGGTGAATAGATTACTAATTAAAATTGTAACACCAAAAACCCTCATCACGCTATGTGATTTATCAAGTTTATTTCTAGAATAGACTAAAAGTACATGATGGTTTTTCATGAGCAGTATTTAAAATAGCTCCACACTGGAAATAACCCAAATGCTCAACAAGGGTAGAAAGGATGAGAAGCTTGAAAAAGTACAGAGCTGAGAAGGAAATCACTTATGCCCACATGTACTAATGTGAAGGAATTTAACAAACAGCACTGAGTAAGAATGGTTTGACTTCACTGACACAAAGAACAAAACCAAACCAAACAAAACCCAGCTGACATCAGAACTCTGGATCATGGTTACTCCTAGGGTACAGTGGCTGCATCTTGGAAGCTAATAACTTTGCCATAAAAAAGCATACTGAGCTGTTCTTGGATGGTACTGCCAGTTCTGTATGTGTATATGTTTAACAAAAAGAGTTTTGAAAGTGATGGAAGGGGTGATACTGTTCAGAAAGAAATGTACTCATTATCTGGCTTATATAACTGTAACCCCTTTGTAACACCTCTGAACATCACCTTTACAATAACAACAACAAAAAAAGTAATAGACATTAAAAAAAGAAAGTATTTTAAGGGAAGACAATTTGGTTTTCATTTAAAATGGATTCACTTCAAACTATGCCCCTTCCCTTGGGTGTTCCTTCTTCTAGAGTTTTTTTTTTTTTTTTTTTTTTTTTTTTAATATAAGGAGAAATCCTCAAAAAAATTACTTGTTCCAAATACATTTTTTAAAATTTTTCCAAACTAGACAATGGTTAAAAATTTAATGTATTACTTTTATATATTGTATCTTTATAATCTAAATAGAGCCATTTCTTTATAAGTGTTTTTTTATCTGTTTATTTTTCAAATAAATGCAATGTTATAGAAAAGGCATGATATTTTTAAGGATCTTTTTTAAAACACATTTCTGCAGATTAGTTAGTTACTCTAAAACATCTTTTGTCCTGATTTGGTTTTGTGTGGATGAATCTATGTATGTAATTACAGCATTCTAGGACATTCATTTTTAGGTGTGGCACAACCCAATTTCCCAATAAATTTGTAGAAAAAAGACAGCTATTTTCTTTCAGTCTCTTTCTAGGAAATAACTCTGAGACTGAGTTTTGTACTTCTATAATCCACCAAATGGGAATATGAAATGAAATTAAGAATTATGGAAAAAGCTGATTGTTTAGCATAAACTGCACTGAATTGCTGGCTGGGTAATTTTAGTTTAACTATGAAATTATAATAGACTTGTGACTCAATTTTCAATAAAAATAACAAAAAGTCCTTACACTAGAAGAACAGAAATTGTCCTATGATAGAATAGCTGGTGCTGTGAAAGAGCTATGAGAGGAATATTTGTTTCAGGTTTGTATTAACTCTGGCTCTAGTAATTGCACTTCAAAACCTTAAAGGGAATATATTACAAACACCATCACTACGCTAAGCTTTGTGGTTGTGTTAAAGCCATTCATGGAAAGACTGTTTTTTATCCACATTAAATATTTGGAGGGTTCATTTTAGAAAGCACAGAAGTTACCCAATGCAATCATGTGATCTCAACAGTACAAGAATTGAAAGAACAATAGGTGCTCTAAAAAGCTGTATCATATGATATTCTGGCCTATGTTGTTGTTCCTGTACTATGATTCAGCGTGTTGAGCTCTCACTTGACTATTTTGCTCACAACGGGCTCTTTATCACTTGAATCATACCTTTACTTCTGGCTTTTGGCTGGTTAAATGTAGATAGAAGAGTTACCAGGAATTGCCTGCCTGTACTAACTTTGAACTGCTACATTTAGATCTCAGCTTCTTGAGTACTTGGGATTGTAGGTGTGAGCCACAGGTGCCTTGCTTGGCCTCCTTTTAAAACTATATTATACATTTATTCTTAAATTTTTCAAAGTGTGTTTATGAGTCTGTTGATTTTGGAGGTCGTGCAAGAAGTGGAGTAAGAATGCTGTTCCCAGTGGCTGAGCCTTTTCCTACTTGTCCCTATTTGCTTCAGGACTTCTGCTAGAGAGTACAAAAGAGAAAGTCATCTTACCACAATCTATACTGGGATATTTAATACCATCAATCACTACCAGATAAGATTTAAGTACAGAGGCCTAGCTTCATATATGTAACTTCTGAAGACAAAGGAAAGTGACAGATAATTTTCTTAAAACCAAGAGGAATAAACTGTTCATTAACCAAAAAACCTCCCTTGGTGACTAAATCACTGGAAACTGGAATCATCATCTGTACTTCACTGAATGAAAGCTGAATTATTCAGAGTTTGACTTTTTAGAAATATAATTTCCTAGGGGCTGGGAAGGTGGCTCAGTGGTACAGTGCTTGCCTTGTATACATGAGGACCTGGTTTCGAATCCTCAGTACCACATAAGCAGAAAAAACTGGAAGTGGCACTGGGGCTCAAGTGGTAGAGCACTAGCCTTGAGCTGAAGAACTCAGGGACAGTGCCCAAGCCCAGAGTTTAGGCCCCATGACTGCCAAAACAATAAAAGATAAAAAAATATATAATTTCCTAATAGTTAAACACAAACTTAATCAACCTATAAAAAACATTTGGGACATTTTGTTCTCAAATGATATGTAGTTAGAATTTGAGACGAAGCATTGTTAAGTCTCCAGAAGTGATGTCAGCATGATACCCTAAATAAAGATGATGATTCCAATTCCAAATTTTTACTTTAAAAAGTAGTTGTAGTAAAGCTAGAGATACCATTTTTCTTTTTTCTTTTAAATATAAATTTTGTACTGGTATCGGGGCTTGAAGTCAGGGCCTTGTCATTCATTCTTACTTGGCTTTTTCTTTCAAGGTGGTACTCTACCACTTCAGCTATACCTCCACTTCCTAGAGATGCCAATTTTTGAGGAATATAATTTCAGAAATAGATGAAAATAGCCGAGCACCGGTGGCTCACGCCTGTATTCGTAGCTACTAAGGAGGCTGTGATCTGAGGATTGAGGTTGGAAGCCAGCCCGGGCAAGAAAGTCCCTGAGACTCTTATTTCCAATTTACCACCAGAAAACTGGAAGTGGCACTGTGGTTCAGGTGGCAGAGTGCTTGCCTTGAGCTGAAGAGTTGAGGGACAGTGCCAAGGCCTAGAGTTCAAGCCCCATGACAAAAAAAAAAAAAAAAGAGACGAAAACAAACTTATCTAAAAAAAAGACAAAAACAAGTAGCTATTTCTTGACTGTTTAAAAGATAACTTCTAATTACAGTACTCTTTTTTTAAAGTCAAAGAATCTTAAGCTAGACTTAAGCTAAGTCTTAAAAATGATATAACTCTCCCAAATAATTCCAAACAAACCTTTTGGTGTGTGAAAGTTATTCATATTCTTTTTTTTTTTTTTGTTGGTGGTGGGGCTTGAACTCTGGGCCTGGGCACTGTCCCTCAGCTTTTCAGCCATAAGTACTTGAGCCACAGAGCCACTTCAGGTTTTCTGGTGGCTAACTGGAGATAAGAGTCTCAATGGACTTTCCTCCCAGGGCTGGCTTTGAACCATGATCCTTAGATCTTACCCTCCTTAGTAGCTAAGACTATAGGCATGAGCCACTGGCGTCTGGCAAGTTATTCATATTCTTAAAGCATACATAATTTTATTAGGAGCCTAGGGCAGCCTTTTCCTGAAAGATCAGTTCTAACTCTAATCTTACTATGCTAACTCCAATCTTACATGCTTGGGGCTTAAAATTTCTTATTCAGTTGGCAGATACTCCTTCTCATTGGTTCAAGTTTTTTTGTTTTTTGTTTTTTTGTGCTATTCCTGGGGCTTGAACTAAGGGCCAGGCATTGTTTCTGAACTTTTGTAGTCCAGGCTAGTGCTCTACCACTTGAGCCACAGATCTACTGGCTTTTGGGTTGTTAATTGGAGAAAAGAATCTCACAAAATTTCCTGTCTTGGCTGGCAGTGAACAGTGATTTTCAGAGCTCAGCTTCCTGAGTAGCTGGGAATATAGGCATGTGACACTGGCAACTAGCTTAGTTCAAGCATTTAAAAAAAGATAAATACTAAATTAGTTCTTTTACTGTCATAGTGATAATATGTAATATACAAAGGGTATAAAATAAAAATGTTTCTCTTACCCCTTTTGTCCTCTTTTGTGAATGTGTTGACTTGTGCCTGTAGAAATCCAGCTGTCAATGTCATTTCACTTGCCATTTCAATCTGCCACATTCTGCTCTGTCCTTTCTTTGCTACTACTGGTTTCTGTAACCCTAATAAAGTACTGCTTCATGTAATTGCTTTTAAAGATTGTACTTTCATTTA